TAATTTTATTTCTTCTACTGGGGATCAAACTCAGGACTCTGTGCTTGCCAGGCAGGCACTTAAGCTGCTGTGCTATTCTCTATCCATGGTCCATATTCTTTAACAGTTTAAAAAGAATGTGATCATTGCCCTTCTCCACAAAACCAATGCACAACACTGAAAAGTGAGTGTGTGACATTGCACATTGCAAAGCTGATCTGAAATCTCCTAGCCTGAGGAATCTTAAGGAAGTCAGCTGGAAAATGCCTGATCTAAGTGGAGCAGAGTCCATTTTCACCTTGCACTCAATCTATTCTAATCAAGACTTATTGAACAGTATTTTGTGCAAGCCACAAAGTACAGTACTCATTATGGGAAAAAGAAGAAAGGAAAACAGCATCTCACCATGCAAACTATTTAATATCAGAATTCAAAAAATTCAAATGAAATGTTGGGAATATATAAAAAAGGACGAAACCACATTGTTGAAGGTCACAGTGACCAGGGGTATGGATAAAAAGTTCTCAGTTTATTCAAGGGGAAAAGGTGAGAGTGGGGAGGAAGAGAGAACGAACCAATCAGAAAGCTACTATCATAGTCCAGGCAAGAAGCAGAGGGTTTAAACAGAATTCTCTTCATTTTCTGGTGCTAGGAACTGAACTCAGGACCCTGGACTTACCAGCTAGGTACTGTACCACTGAGTTATATCTCTAGCCCCTTAAACAAAAGTCTCTTGTCCCAGCCTCTTGAGTAGCTGAGATTACATGTTCCCTCTACCCATCTGTTGAGCTCAATCAAGTATTACTTCCATTATTGTTACCAAGGAAATGCATATTCTTAAATTTCTGTACTGAAAAGGAAAGACCCATCTCTCCCATCTGTAAGTTTGTAAAATTGAAGTGTGTGACTAAAGAATATTTACTTTGAATAAATATGTTATAGGGTGGTGGCAGAGATTTAGTGAGCAAATTTAGTAAATCATGCCTCAGTCGATAAATTAGAATAAACTATGATTAAAAATCTTTACCCCTCAGTCAAACTTGGTGATCAATGGGGTGGCAGATGTCACAGCTAGATGACCCTCATATCTACCCCCCAATCAGAAACAAATACTGAACAACAGGGAAACAAATTATAGTACCTGCAAGACTAGAAAATATGAAAACATTGAAGTAGAAGTAATCATTATTGATGTATAAAGATATTATGAGAAAGCAAGCTACAAAAATACTGGTATGGGGACTGGGGAGATAGCTCAGTAGAATAAGCACTTGCCTGGTAAGCACAAGGGCCTGAGTTCAATCCCCCGTTCTGCCGAAAAAACAAACAAACAACAAAAAAAAACCTGCTATGAGCTAATTTTAATGACGTAATGTATTTTTGATCTTTTTGTTATTCTGTATATTTATTTTCTAATTTTTCTACATTACAAATTAATTATATAAAAAATAATAGAGTTGCCAATCCTGTGATTTGTTTTAGGTTTGGCTATACTGATCTATGACTGATAACATGCTGCTTCATTGCTTTCGGCTTAGGGCATTTATTTGTTAAAGACAGATTGGAGCAAATATTATAAAGAATTTAAAATGCTTGTGTGTGGGGGGTAGTGGGGACTGGACTTGGCAAGTGACCTTGTGAGGGGACTCGGGCAGGGTAGAACGGGAGTGTAGAGGAGCATGTATGTTAGAAGTTTTTGTTGGGTCCTTGGCCTGGGTCTGTAGTCTCCAGACACTGCACAGATGCCTCATGGGTAATACCTGTGCTCCACAGTTACACAGGGAATTAGTAAGTCCTCTAATTACTGTAGCAGAACATGAAAAAAGAAATTCAAGGGGCTGGGGAGATGGCTCAGTGGTCTAAAGCACCTACTTAGAACAAGCTTAGCTAAGCACAGGGACCGTGGTTCAATCCCCCAGCACCACATGCCAGCCAGCCCTGCCCCCTGGTGGGCTGAACTGGCCACACACACACACACACACACACACAAATAATAAATAAAATTTAAAAAAAAGAAATTCAAAACAGACATATTAGTCTTTATTGCATATTTTAATTATGAACAATTACATATTTTGGAACCACTACGTATGTACTTAGGTACATATATACATGTTTTTAAAACTTTCACCATGACCCAGAGTAAGAATTACATTTTATGTGGTGATCCTTTATATGTTTATAGACTTGTAGCCAAACACCAAATTGTGGAACAACCCAAACTTTTCTACATGTGCTGCTCCGTGATATATTCTATCCTATTTTATTAAAGCTACCCAAATAATGACTTTCTGAAATGATTTCATAAATTACTAATAGATTTGAATCTGCAATTTGAAAATCCCACATATAGGATCATCTGTCTGTCTGTCTGTCTGTCTGTCTGTCTGTCTATCTGCTGTCTTTTTGAGACATGGTATCACTATATAGTTTAGGCCCAGCCTTGAGTCATTTTCAAAGTTTTATTAAATAACTTTTTTTTTTTCTTGATTTAAAGATGACTTCCAGGCAGGGCACAGTGGTATATACCTGTAACCCCAGTACTCAGGAAGCTAAGGCAGGAAGATCACTGCTATGTAGTTCAGTGGTTGAGTGCTTGCCTAGAATACTGCATATAAGGACCTAGGTTCAATCTCTATGACTATGAGGAGAAAACATGGTAATCTATAAAGACAAAGGTATAGAAAAGCTGTGTCCTTAACAATTTCATGCAAGGTAAACAGTTTACTCAGATATGTCCTAAGTCTCTGTGGTTGGAGGGTTTAGTAAAGGTGAATACCTGATAACATAACCTTTTACTAAAGAAAACGTGCTCTGTGATATGAAAAAGACTTGATGGGTTATTGCTGGCTTCAAAGAAAGAAGGATGGGCTGTGAGTTAAGAAACACAGGTACATTCTGTTTGTTTTTTTTCCTGGCACCAGGAATTGAACTCAGGACCTTGTGCTTGCCAGGCAAATCACAGGTAGATTCTGAAAGGTAGAAAATGCAGGAAAATAAATTGGCCTCTAAACATGAGGACAGCTCTATGGACACCTTGAGTTTGGCCCAGTGAGGTTGTGCTGGATCACTGACTCCCCACAATTATAAGATAATGTTTATATTTTTTTAAAAAGGGAGGAAGAAAGGGAGGAGGAGGGAAGGAAAAAAAGGTAAACCTACTCTATACAAGTGGCTGTTGCTTTGTAACATAAGGACCACTTATTGGGGCCTTTTTTTCATAGAGACAAGAGTTCTTGTTGTGTCCAAGCTGGCTTTAAGCTTTGAGGCTGGCTTCAAACTCATTGGTGATTCTCCTGCCTCCAACCCTGGAATGCTGGTATTACAGGCATGCCACCACACTGGCTTATTCCACCACTTTTTTTTTTTTTTTCGGAACTGGGGATTGAACTCAGGCCCTTGTGCTTGCCAGGCAAGTGCTTATTCTACTGAACCATCTCCCTGGCCCCTCCACCACTTTTTAATAGTGATAAAAGATGAAAATAATCTCAATAGGTAAACTACTCAATAAAGTGTTATATATTCAAGTTATAAAAAAGAAAAAGTATTTAATGTTTTAAACATGCAGACCAGAGGAGTGATTCTCAAATCTGGCTGGACCCTAGAGCAGGTATGTATGAGGAGGGGAGTCTATAACAGAAACTCCACGAGAAGGGCAGAAGTGAATGGGTTAAACATTTTAGCAATAATATGCTTTATTTGGAAAACAAATATTAAAAGCCACCATTTTGTGTGTAATGGAAGAGTTTGACACTGTATTCTGGGGATATACAGAAGGTATTCTTCAAACAGAGAAGGCAAGCTTATCTCTCAAATAGCATCAGAAGTTTTAGAGAGCAGTTATAAGACCTTTATGTTTATCATAAAGAAGGTACAAATTGATAAGAAGTTTAGAAACAGTTATATGGAGATCTGGAATAAACATACTAAATGTACTTTTTCCTTTTGCTTTTCTTTTTTGATTTTTGAGACAGGGTCTCATTGTATAGTTTAGGTTGGTCCTGAACTCACTATGTAGCCCAGGCTGGTCTCAAACATGTAACAATCCTTCTGCCTCAGCTTCCTGAGTACTGGGATTACATACCTGCACCACCACACCAGGCCTAAATTCACCTTTTCAAGACTGATTCAAGAATGGAAGAAAAGCAGTAGTACGTACTTAGTTCTTATTGCTTTTTCAGGTGATATAATGACAGTTATTAAACAAAGGCCAGCACGT